TACCAAGGCAGAGTATCATTCCTACAACCTTATTAAAGTCAATGAGTCAGGTAAACTCACCGGCTAATTCCTAGATGTTGTATATATATAAATATATATATAAATATATAAATATATATATTTATATTTATACATATATTTATATATCCTATACTTATGCTTTCAGTTCATGTCATACGTTAATCTAGTGGCACTAATTTGCATCTGTTTGTGCGTGTATATGTGCCTTCATGTCTATGTAACTGTACGAAACCAATAGTGATAGTTCAAAGTAATTAGAACAGAGTCTTGGTCATCACGATTTAATGACCACAAAATCCCTCTTTTTTATAGTCTGACCATCACTTCGATTTTTTAATGTCTACTACACGCCCTATCAGTCCTTGATCACCTAAAACGAAATAGGGTAAATATCTTTCATGTATATGATCTATTAATAGTCCCGAAACCCTGCTTATGAAAAGACAGTTTGTAGTTTGGTCGCTTGTTATGGTAAATACAACTTTGATTCATCTTCCATATCACCACAGAAAGCGATATATAAAAGGTCTGGCCTTCCTTTAAATTCGAGCTTATCCTGTGACACAGTGACACTCGTTTCAGTTTGGCGTGGTTGTTAACGTGTCGAGAGTAAACGATGAACTGTCATAATTAGAGTCCCGCTGGGGGTGCTGATAAGACCCAGGCTAGGCCGAAACTGCAGTCCACTTCTGTCTTGATGAAAATACCTTTTGAGAAAGTAAGGCTATGTGAAATTCAATGGAATATATATATTTGAGAGTATTAATCTGGGTTAAATTAAAGAGAATAAATACATCTTATGAACACATTTATCTAAATTGATAAGCTTTGTGTTTGCATATGAGAAAGAAAGGGTAGGTTCAGCTCGTAGGCAGAACCATTGCCAACACAAGACTAGTTGAATCGACTCTTTTTTCAAGCGGCTTAGCATTGCTCTTTATCAATAAAGTATCAGTATTTCATACAAATTTGCCGATGTTCTTGACATTCAATATTTTGCCTAATCTTTTGATTTTGATGGGCTCTCTAATTTTGCGCTTAGCTGCAGATATGTAATAATCAACAAAACTATATGTTTATGACTATTCCACCTTATGCAAAGTTTCGGCACTGTCTTCTGACACTTCCGATTTTTGAAACAAACAGGCTGTATAGGCACATTTGTGTTTAGCCATCTTATGTAGCATGGAACAACAGTTATTTCCAACATAAAAATGACCTCGTAAACAAATTATTTTACAGCAGCCTGATCTAGATAGTGGGTAAACTCACTCTGAAGAAAGTGGTATAGTTTCCTTGAATTTTGCTTTTATTCCCTATTTCCTTACTAGTTTGTCAATCTTTTTATAAAGTACTTAGGAGGGCAAAG